CACAATTGTATCTCCAGCTGTTTCAACAGTTTCTTATATTATCTAAATGCAAATGATTTTTTTTTTCAATATACACTGCATTTTCAATCTTTAAAATTCTTTATAAGGGACTATACCTATTGAGGTTGTCTTAATACTTGAATGATTGGAATACAAATATTGTCTACATTTCACATTAACACAAAAATCTTAATCAGTTAATTAACATTAGTTTCATCTTTAGTTTCATTGAGTAGTATTTTGCTATACATAAATGCAATAACACCGCTAGAATATTTTCTCCATTAATGTCTATAGTTTTAGAAAAACTGGAATAGTAAAACTAGAACAGTGTGCGTCAATGTCTTAATGTGGTTCTGCTATGACTGTATATAGCAAACAGTGAAACTTCAGCATTTCACCCAAGTACATGCCTAGCATCTGAGCTGGTTTTAATTACCCCCCTAATATACACGCATAATTAGCCAATGATTATTGAAACTCTATCCATAGCGCTGTGGGATAGCTTTGTAATTAATAATAATGCTGTATCTTTTCTTTAAGTTTAAGCTATTTGTAGTTGCAAGATTTTTCTAGACTTAGTTTAGGTAGATAGAAAATTAGATTTGATTTTTACCATACCTGTAGTGCAGGCTGTAGATACACTGAGTGGTTTTGGGTGGCACATATATTTATGAATGCAGTCAAGACAAATAAAGTACAAAAAAATAAGAAACATTCAATAAACTGGTAAAGTGTTTTAAAATATAAGAATTTAAAGATAATGAAATGTGGACGTAAGTATTTAATAAGAATTTCTATCAAGTATTTTAAAGATGTCAAGAATTTCAACTGCTGTATAGATTTAGTAATAAATTGTTGTAAAAGGAAAACTTATTTGAATTTAGATCCACATATTGAGTTGAGAAAGATTACAGCTTATTTACATTGTAATTCACACATTTGACGGACATTTCTAAACCTACATTAAATGCATGCATCAGACTCTTGAGTACCTTGTTTTTGAGAAATCTCATTTTTAATTGATGACATAAAGAAGGAAAAAATGGAGCAACAGAAACGACAAGAAGAAAAAATGAAAAAACAAGCCCACGCACAGAAACTCCATATGCAACAGCCAGAACAAGGGCTCTATAATTATGACGAAGTTCAGAGAAACCTTCGGGAAGAGCGACGAAAGGACTATGGTGAATTCGTGGTATGAATGGTTTCCTTTTTGTAGATTAGCTAGATACCAATGTTCCTTAGAATGTTATTGGTGATTTAGTAACGAAAGGAAAAAGTAGATATGTCTATTTTCTCGTCGTAGTAAGACTTTATTTCAGATTTACTTTTTTTTTCTTCTAATTTCCTTGCCAATTAATTGTTATCAATTTCAAAATATTCACTATTGTTTTTGTATAAATGACGGTGAATTTTTAAGTATGTACAATTGATGCTAATGTTGATGCAATGATTCCAAGGAGTTACATAGGAAAACATGTCTGTAGAAATATAGTCCTCGTATAATGTGATATAAAAGTAATTTCTGTGCATTCAATCTTTACCATCTAACATTTCTGTCATATACTACAGAACAAATTCCAAGTACAAAATGTTGGTGCGTCTTCTCGCTTTTCCTCTCCTCAGTCTTGATCAGTATTGAGGAACCAGGTTGATTTCCACTGTTGGTTGTTGATATAATATAATATTGTCACACTTAATTTACCTGGTTACTGAGTTTTCTGAGGTATTTTACCTTACAAACAACATTCGTCAAGGCCATTAGGTAATGAAACCCAAGTCTGTAATTTGATAAAAAATGATAATGATACACATCACACAAGGTTTGGTCAAGTTGTCGGTTCAGTGAAGTACGTTCTAATGGTGGTCTATCAAATCAAACGACATCTTTTGTTATGTCCTCTTTATTTTCATCTAATTTATAATCGTTTCCTCCTATATAAAGGAATAATTGTCCATTTTGGAAAATGTTTCCTTTCACATTTCATCTCAGTGTGTTCTGTTTGAGACGTTCTCTAATGTATCGTTGTACTTCCCCTCCAATTTATCATACCGGTATTATTAGATCTGTAGTTGTCCTTTCAGTCCTGAAGTGGGGCGATGGTTGAGACTATGTGTATCAGATGATTGTGGATGTTGTACCGGCGGTCTGTTTTTTCTATGGTAGCTATAAGGTGTATGACCTATTGTCATAGTATGTTCCCCTAGTTTCCTTACAAAGGTTTGTCCTTTGAGCGCATGGTCAACAGGTACCTTAATTCAGCAGCGTAGTAACCCGAGATGACTGCCAGAGTTGATGACCCAGTAATTAACCTACAATTTTATACAATAGTTGCCGACTTAATATAAGACAAACTTGTCTAAGGTTGCGTAGGTGTTGAATACGACATGTATGCAAAAAGAAAACCCCTCGTGCAGTAATATTGCTAAAGTATGTATTCTTTTTTTATGTGATAAATGCTAATATGGGATTGTCCTCCGCCATCTTGAAAATTGAAATACGTTTTGTGTGCTATGTATCCATAAACCTATATGCTGTATTGCATTCGGAAATAAAAAAAACTTGAAACTTGAAACTTCAGCTGAGCTGAATTATAGAAATTTTTAAAAGTACTCCATTGAGATTCAAATGCCTAACTAGGTGAAGTCTGCTGATGGCTGGAACAGCCTGCCTCCCCAGATTATGGTATCAAGAATCATTTAATCTTTTGACTCTCACTTGGACATTGCCTCCTTACATTGTTTTGTCTGGGGCATATCTTTTATACTTTGCCACTTACAATTGCGTGCAAGTACATCATGGTGTCTGAGTGTAATACACCAACATCAGATCTTGTGCTTCTACTATATACAGAGTTATTACCCTGTGTTTATTGTTGACACCCTTGTTTGTCCACAGGTAGGTAACAATGGATTGCTTACAAAACTTTCATTGTCTTGTTCGTTTTTTGATACTGATGTTTTTTTGGAGGAAGGGGACTATAATGGCAATACCTCTTTACAAGGATATTCCTTAGCTAGGCCTTATTCCTGCGAGATTTGTATACCTGATTTATATGTCTTAGCAATGCCTTATTCAGATAAGGTTGATAAGAATACACCGTATAAGTATGTGCTATAGCTATGCCTAATCTATCCCTTATTCCAGTCCATGGGTGGCTTACCCCGACGAGGGAAGTATGACCCTGCGTTACAAAGTCAGACAATGGCGGAAAAGAAATATAGAGAATACCTGGTATGGGTAAATGTGCACTGAACGCTTGTGAGAGTTTGCAATAGCTTTTATATAGCTGTAATTGTCCACACATTCCATTTGGGGGGTGGGGGGGGGGGGGGGGGATTTAAACATTGATAATATATGTACAAAAGAATAAAGAATTCTATGCGATGTTCTACATGCAAGGGAGACAACAACAAATGTTGAGCTCTTCATTTTTTGGTGTTTGATGGTGAAGGGGGAAATATCTAATTGTAAAAGGACACTGATAAAGGAGAATGTGCAGTAAGGGCTGTTTTTCTTCTTGAGATGCTAATGTGAAATTGGCCCTTATTGTGCATACTTCTTTACTGTTACTTAAATACAAAAATGGAAATTAAATTGTCAAATTTTGATAATGACAACCATATTTGATAAAATTTGTGTCACTATCAGTTTGTTATCAAGCTGTGTGTTTGCTAAGATCAGCTGAAATCAGAAAATGTTTGTTTGTGTTAAACAACATAACAATATTAAAATCATTAAAGTAGACAGAGAGACGTGAGGTTGAAGTGCATGGTTCTGCATGTAACAGGAAGGGCTGCCTTGTTGTAGTATATAGGACATGTGTTTTTTTAGTTAGAATACTAATATTGTTTTTAAGGTACATTTTTGGGATATTTTGATGGATTGTTAATTTGGTGACAAGAGTTGTGTATAACTTGCATCAATAATGCATTATTCACACTGCTTCTTTAACATACTTTTTATGTTGTAAGAAATTAGATTTTTTTTCTCTGTACAAATATGAGAATTTATGTATGTCATAGTTTTTTGCATGTTATATTTTGAATAGCTCTTTCCATTTAAGAACTTTTGTCCAATGTTAAAACAGTCTATACAGTAATATATGTAAGTATTCATAACCATTTATCTTTTGATATCTTTGAATTTCATGATCATTTAGGAATGAAAGGTCTTGTCATTCGAATTGTGCTCATCTCAGTCATACCTTCCTCCCTACCATTGAGTCCTGCCATTCACCTTATCATTGAAATATCGCATGCTGAGCTTCCGTTAGGTCATTAAATACTTTCATGTGACCTTCCTTTTAGAATGACTTCCATTGACATCACTTTCAAACAAGTACATATATTTTTCACGACCTAAAATCATTAATTTATTTTCAACCTCAAACTCACGTTACTTTACCTGAATTGACATGATTATGTAGATATTTGGAAAAAAATAAGTGACTGTTAATTGCAGCAAACAATTCTTTCCAGGTGTGTTCTTGATATTTCAATTAATACCTTTATGAAAGTGTGCATACATTATATGCATGTTTGCGTAAAGTGCCATTATCTTGCACAATGGTTTTGGTCACAATACTATTTTCAGGTCTCTTCATGTCCTGAAAGGCATACCACACAATAAACCATAAGGCCAAGTGCCAGTGCTCCGTCTTTTCATTTCTTCAATCTTTCATTCATTATGATTTCAAACCACCTCCTCATTTTCAATCATATTCTTTTTATCATTTTTCATTCATTCAAAATGTTTGTATTGATAAACAAGTGATCTGAGATCCTATTCTATATACAGAGCTCAGGTAAACAGGTGTAATTCAGTCGGTTGCTATGCAGAGTTGGTTGTGTTTGGACATTCTTTGTGTCTCTTAATGCAGGCATAGCGTAAGCTTAGACAAAAATCGACAACACCGTCTATAGTGAGTGTACATATTGAAGATCACCTTTAAAAATCTGGAGTTTTGAACTCTACTTTTAATTACAATTTTAAGAATCAACTGAGCGAGGAAGAAAGTGATTCTAGCGATGAATTGGACATAAATGAACATTCCAATCATCGCAAAGGTCGACGTTACAAAGACGGTGATCCTGCGGAGGACGATCATCCTACTCCGTTACCGTGGGATAAGAATCTGTTGGAGGGAAAGCAAAGTGACGAGTTCCTGGTAGGACATTGTGTTAGAACCTGCATGGTGTAGGCTTACGTAGCATCCTCGCTATCTTCTCTCTTTGATCCTTCTGATGTTTAACTTCACCTTGAATTAGAAAGTCATCAGTAGAATAAAACACATAATTTGAAGAAATATAATAAAAGGATTCATAAGTGTTGAAATGTCATTTTTTGAAGAAGATTAAACTGTTGAAAGTGATCTTTAAATCAAATATAGCTTTGAAGTGTTTGGTATTTTGAAACTGCAAATACTTGTACAATTTTTTTTTTTTGTTAAAACTAATTTCCTATTTTCCCAGAATAGACACATTTCACCCTTAAAGAGTTACCAATTTCTATTTGGTGCACAAAAAAAAAACTAGGCACGGGGTGGAATTCCGAGACGAAGGAAACAAAAATACACTCGGAAATCTGGCAGGGCCAAGGAAAGGAAAAATGATTATGTGGCTTTCCTTCAATCGGTAACCATGACAACACATTTATTTCATATGCTTATTTTTTTCTATATAATATTAGATTGTCTAGACTGGCCTTGCCATAGTTAGTCTGTGATGAGTACCACTAATACCCATGTGAGACTGTGTCTTAAAACATTGTGTTGTCGTAGAACAGAATTAATGGTTTGTAGTTATTGAATTAAATTGTTTTCTGTGACCTGTTTTTGTTCATTTAAATTTGAATTAAATGGTGGTTGGTTGACCTTTTGAATGTTGAGCCAATTTGGAATGGGGATGTGTAGCTGGTATAATGGGAATATGTAGCTGGTGTAATGGGGATATGTAGCTGGTGTAATGGGGATATGTAGCTGGTATAATGAGGAGATATTTGTCTGAAATAGACACTAATGCACTGTTTTATGTTGCTGGAGAGTTGGAATGGGTCCCATCTTCTTTAAAACTTTTATAGTCAACATGCTGTTGCTAGCCATTTTACTTTGTGAAGACTGAGGGACATTTCACAATTTTCTCAATAATCTATCTTCATCAGTAATGTTTTTACACAGGTGGTCTTTTTACATAGAAACAGGGGTATATTTATGGATATTTGTAAATATATACCACCTAAATGAATATTTCATGTTTTAATTGTTTTATTTCTATAGCAATCATGCCTAATCATTCCTGTATTACCTTCGTGACTTGTGTATTAATTGATCTGTACTTTATATCCTGCCTGTGATGCCGACGCTGGCCGTTGTTACACCCTTTGGTATCCCAATTCCACCATCTACTGTTTTATATATCACCTAAATCATGCACCGCTCAGCTTGCCTTACCTGTGGTAGCTTTCATGAGAATGCATGTCTCATCATACCTTCTATTTGCATGTTGTCATGGAGTCCATCGAATCGGGTTACAGAACACCAACGAAGGCGTTTTGTTTTCTCGATTGCTTAGAGATTTTTATGTTTGTTCAGTTGCTGTGTATGTTTTCCGGAACAAGAGCTTTGAACGTGACTTTCTAAGGCTGTAATGTCGAATCCAGTATGAGTCCATGTTTGATTGATATTTTATCGCTGGTCCTGGTTATTGTGTAGCCATCACTGTGATCTCGAGGGGAAGCTGGATTTATTACTCTGAGATTATTATTATTTGGTTCATTACATATGTATACACGTGCCGGCTGCAATCAATCGCTGCTTATATGCACTGTTAATCTTTACCGGTAACTTGCTGCTAAAAAGCAACAATATGTTGCCTAGCTGTGGGTCCCAGTGGCCTAGCTGTCGGTCCCAGTGGTCGATTCCATCCCTGATGAGAACTTTTTCATCACCACCTCTCTGAACTTGTAATGTTATAATGTGGCCTAGCTGTCGGTCCCAGTGGTCGATTCCATCCCTGATGAGATCTTTTTCATCACCAACTCTCTGAACTTGCTCATTGATTTCATTTGACACTGCAACAATTTTTGATCATTTTTCCCTTATTTTTCCATACCATTTTCATATATATGCACACAAATTAATATAAACAACCATTACTGATTACAAATGTTGTGATGAATGTTATGTGTATTTATCTAGTTTTATCAATATATACACAGGTAGTCATGTGACTGCTTAAAACAGTAAATACACCATCTTGCTCTTAGTAAAAAAAACACCATTTTGCTGCTTTAGCGTATCAAGTTTTGGAAAACTCATTACAAACAGATCAATATTTTCACTGCAATCATTGCCATCACACCTCGTGTGCTATGTATTATAAAAAGTAATGATCATTACAATGCTAGCACTTCTGTTCTATTGCTGCGAACATATGGTTGTACAATTTTCAGGCCATAGAAAAATCTGAATTCAACTTGTGCTGTTTGAAACGGATGTTACTTCAATCTTGATCTACAACATTTATAAGGAATATTACAGACATGACCTTTTTAAACTCATGCTTTCGTTGAGAAGTGAGAAGTGATCGTTTCCAACTGTTCTTATCTTGAATAGCAGGAATATTTTTCAAGATTTTGTTAGACTTGTCACATTTTTTTCTTGAACCATGTATGGTCAATTGTAAACATGATATAGTGTAAACAATTTGATATCTTCTTTTTCCTACGTTAAGAAACTACTGGCTGTAAAAAAACAAATTGAGTCAGAGATGAAGGAATTACAAATTCAATCTGGAGAGGAAGAAGAAAATACAGAGGATGAGCAGGATGAACAGAAGAAAGGGATTCATAAGGAAACCAACAGAAAGAAAAAACTCCCAAAAAGAAAGAACATACCAAGGGAGCTAATCGTCCATAAACGAGGATTACAAACTCCACCTTGGGCAGAACATTTCGATGTGAAAGAAATCAAAACTGCAGATAAAGTAGGCCACGGAAATGAGAAAAGTATGAACTTATCTGAACAAAAAGGCATCCTTGAAGAACAGCCTTGGTATCAAAATCATCAAAAAAACCGAAGAGTTACTCCAATAGAAAAAGAGTCCAGTAAAAATCATCATCACCATGAGAAATATGAACCTAGTCAGTTAAGTCAATCAGAAGGTCGTTCATGGAACAAAAATAAGAATGACCTGGAGCGCTCTCATGGTAGAAACAAGTATCCTCATAACCAAACAGACGAATCAAAATTGAATGGACAGAAACATTCTAATCCTGTGCAGAAAGGTCCTCAGACTGGTTCTTATCCTGAAAATAAAGGTCAACGATCGGTCACTCGAGAAAGTGAGAGTCATTTATGGAACAATACAAGGAGAATGCAGTATAATAAAAACCATCCGTGGAATGAACAACAAAGTCAGGATATATCATTGGATGATTACGAACAACAAACCAGAGGTCAAGGTCAGCAGAGAGAAAATAGATCCTTTCATCCCAGTCAGCAAGGTGAGCATAGACAAAGTAGAGGTCACCTGGACAATGGTCAAAGGGTTGAAGGTCACCAGGATGAAGGTTTACAAAGGAAGTGCATTGATCAGAAACAAGGAAGTCAAGCAAAGTCACAGGAAAGAAAGAAGTATGAAAATCAATCTGACAGAGGTCAAATTGACAGAGGTCAATCTGACAGAGCTCAATGGGACAAAAGTCAATGGGATGAAGGTCAGCTTAGTAAAGCTCAACTGGAAAAGAATCACAAAGAAGAAATTAACTACAGGCATTCAAATAACCAGCAAGAGGAGGACACGACAGAGGAGGGAAAGCATTTTGATGACTTCATGGTAGGCACTGCACCAAACCTCTTTATATATGGTAGATTTCACATATGATAATAATATTTTGTCAAATATGTTTTACTATTCAGGTGTACTATTGAACAGTTTTGTTTGTAGGATAGAACATGCATGATGAAAATGCTATATATAGAACATCTTAGGATTTACAGCTGTATTCCCCATCACAAGTTTTGTACATTTGTCATTCAAGTGCTATGTAAAAATATCTAAGAAACTTTATTGAATTGTCCATGTAGTAACACAAGGAAGGTAATTAGACATGAACAATTGATACTTAAATAGCACTACTGTCTTTTCCTGTTGAAATCAATTGTGTACAGTGATATATAGTTCTTACAAGTAATGATAATAAAATCACTTTTCTATTAAAAGTTCTCCCAAAAAAATCCAAGAAACTTGATTGACTAATAACACTAAACAATCAAGCTAAGTTAATGATGATTACAAACAGAATAGTTATGATATAAGGTTTTTGTAATCTGCAATGTTGACAGCCATTTGGTGGAATGCTGAGGAGGAGAAAAGTTGACCCAGTTACTCTAAAGTCCGAGTTCTTGGAGGAGACACGGAAGAGTTACAAAGAGCTGACCATGGTAACCTCGGCACGCAGCATGTCATCACAGTCATCTATATTTTTGTTTATTGACTGTATTTTTATGGAGCTTTCTGTGTTGTACAGCAGTTTTTCACCATTGTTTACTTCTCAATATTTTGTAATATTGATGTATTTTCTCATGTTTTTAAGAGCTTGGTTATTACTTTTTTAACTAATTTTATCCAGAATGTTCGACATTGTATTCTGTGTTGTATTTTTATTTACGAATGCATGTTGGTATTTTGTTTTAAAAGCAAGCATGAACTCTTAGCTAAAGAGTTGTTTTTTTAAATGTGTAATGCCTGTATACATTTTATTTTTTAAATAATAGACAAGACAAAATCAACAAAGAACGTTTATGTTTGGTTAAGAAAAAAATTGGTTTGTTCAGGTTTAATAAGCAGTCAGCTTGTTTTAAATTGTATTCCAGCGTAGTTTTACTGTTAATTACGTGTTGAAAACAGTGAGATTCTTTGTTAACGTTCACCAATCTTCATGTCAAACATCGACACAGGTTACAAAACAATACAAACTTAAGATTGTTCCTCACCTGTGTGTTCAGGGCAATTACAAACAAGGTCTGCCATTATGTTGAAGATGGACCAATGGAAAGCATTGTTACACCTTTGTTGACATTTAGCTTAATACGTCGGAGATGAACAAGAACGTTTTGTCTTAATTGACCATTAAAATTCAAATGAATAGATAAAATACATTTTTGTCACACAATGTGTAAATGACAACGAACAGCCATGAATGATTTATATATATAAATAAGAAGATTATACATCTGTCTGTCACACAGGAATATTGGACATTGTGTGGGTGTTTTGAAAATCTATTTGAAAATGACTGGAGTGACTTAAATTTCACAACTTTATTGGGGTTTTTAAAAGTTATTTGTATGTATCGATCAAAGTTGTCACCTGCTATCATAGCAATACATTATTATGTATAAACTGGAAACGTCCAGTCTATTAAGATTCTTAGGTCAGTTTATACTCACTGTAATAACATCAGACCAATTCATCTAGTGTGTTATACTAAGTGAACTTATTTCTTATAGTGATAATACCATAGGAAGCTGTTACATGAAGTTATCAGAAGGACAAACAGCTGGATAACAAACTTAAGTNGGGGGGGGGGGGGGGGGGGGGGGGGGGGGGGGGGGGGGTAAAACTTATCAGAGGGGAGACGTTTACATGTTTATCTCAAACAGAGAATGGATGGAGACCTTTAATGGAAAGTTTACAAGCAAATATAAGATTTACCTTATATACCAGATGTTAAAATTGTACATAAGAATTTTACTTTATAAATTGTGAAATATAGTTAACTTCCCTGCTTAGCTGTAAAGAGAAAAAGGTTTCAATTCTTTCCCAGATATAAAAATTATATGCAAATTTAAGTGTTGACCTTGACCCTGGGGAAAAAAAAAAATTGTTGTAGATCAAATATCTTATGTTGCAAGTCTTAGCAAAATAATTCATTATAATTAAGCGAAATCAAAAGATGGCTTCCAAATTTCTATATATGATGACAAATCTGCAAACAGTCAGCATTTATTTCACAGGGGCGCGGTACAGATCCTCACCCAATAATCCGTAATATGTAACGATCCAAAATGTGCATACTATATATATACAGGGAAATGTACACTGAAGTTTAACTTTACCCTTTTCAGCCTCTGTAATAAGGGCAAAGTATCATACCTTCAAATATGATTTCATTGTTGAGCATACATAGCAACACAATGTAAGTCATAATTAACAATGGGTGAATATTCGACTGAGGTAGGGCGGAGGGATTCACACTGTTGTTATAGCAAGGCTTGAACTTTTATAAAGATTGAATGTTTACCTATACACCGGTACACCCCAGATAATAGGATCAGTAAACTCTCTCACTGAGAGTCTATCAACCCCCATTAGGTAAAATATCGGTAATATTTATAGGACTTTAAATCCATATCTTCACAAGTCTTATTAGTTGTTTGTATACTTGTCATACCCTGGTATTTGATTGGACACTATAAACACCCTGTTATGATGATTTATAAAGTCTTGGTACCCCCCTGGGTGTTAATGGGTGCCATATCTTCACAGCCTTAATTTACTGTATCGGTAGTGCGGAGGGATGGTAGAGGGTTGACAACTTGCAGGGAATTTGGATGTAAGAGATATATATATAATTAACGGGCAGATATATTTTATACTTATTTGGAACTTTTCAGACATGCTGCTGCAAAAAACTGGAGTAAACTATTCTCTGTCAGCTAGCTGATGCTTATTCAACATGTTATACATGTACAAAGAAAAAAATCAAACTCAATCTAACTGACAGTGCCTGACATGTCGAGGAACAACTCATTGACATGTTCATGGCTTCTGTTGAATATTCATAGAATTATCACCAGAAACCAGTCTGAGAAAAGTGGTATAAACAACAGGTTTGGTTCAAACAAATAAACAAATCTAGGGGAGAAGTGTCTGGATGTCTGGATTAACTTGGGTTGCGTTATCTGAGTGTTTGTCATTCGGTTTAGATCAGAGGTGTTTGTGTCTAACCATCTGGAATGTCTGGATGTCTGGATTAACTTGGGTTGCTTTATCTGAGCGTTTGTCATTCGGTTTAGATCAGAGGGGTTTGTGTCTGACCATCTGGAGTGTCTGGATGTCTGGGTTAACTTGGGTTGCTTTATCTGAGCGTTTGTCATTCGTTTTAGATCAGAGGTGTTTGTGTCTGACCATCTGGAGGGTCTGGATGTCTGGATTAACTTGGGGTGCTTTATCTGAGCGTTTGTCATTCGGTTTAGATCAGAGGTGTTTGTGTCTAACCATCTGGAATGTCTGGATGTCTGGATTAACTTGGGTTGCTTTATCTGAGCGTTTGTCATTCGGTTTAGATCAGAGGTGTTTGTGTCTGACCATCTGGATGTCTGGATTAACTTGGGTTGCTTTATCTGAGTGTTTGTCATTCAGTTTAGATCAGAGGTGTTTGTGTCTGACCATCTGGAGTGTCTGGATGTCTGGATTAACTTGGATTGCTTTATCTGAGCGTTTGTCATTCAGGTGCTTTCAGAGGTGTTTGTGTCTGACCATCTGGAGTGTCTGGATGTCTGGATTAACTTGGGTTGCTTTATCTGAGCGTTTGTCTTTCAGTTTAGATCAGAGGTGTTTGTGTCTGACCATCTGGAGTTGTTGTCTTTACATCAAAACTTGTTCTGTGTTCTCAAAGCAACCAGAGTTTTTATCTGATCCTGCAGTGGTGTGTTTTGTTTCTGTTTGAGGTCCGTTCTCACTGAAATGCATGTGCATATGTCATCCTATTGAGGTTTTGTTCTGTCTGAACTGTTTGGCACAGAACAAAGGTCTGTGAAATGATAATATATTATGATGATATGGTAATTTGGTTCTGAATGTTCTGCCCAAAGCTTTACCCATTGGTGTCTCTGAGTGACTATTTTCTCTTGTCATCTAGTTGTAAGCCTTAATCAAAGAATCATTGCATCTTCAGAACTTATAATGATGAATGAGACTAACTTTACCTTACATTCATTGAAAACATTTTCAATTAGACAATTTTCAGAGTTTTAAACTGTTGAAATATATTTGTATGGAAATGCACTCTTTTCTATTTATATAAAATGTTGGAATACATTTGTATGAAACCATGTTAAGAAAATAACTTAATACTGTATGATCTATAACAGAAATTTAAGGAAGAACAGTCTAAAATAAAACCAGCTCCGACTCCTCCTGGAGGCCTGGATGTCGGTCAGAACGATTTGTACCGTCAACATCTCAAGGAGGACTTGGTGAAAGAATATCAAGCCTCATTAAAAAAGGTAAAAACTACCTTGTTTTTTTTATTATAATAGAAGTTTCTATTTCTCTCCTTTCAATCTCTCATAGCTTTATCCATCCCTCTGTCATCCATTCCCGTATTTAAAAACCAAAAATAACATTGAAACGTTTCTCATAACTTTCACTAGTGTCTCACTATTTTTTGTGTCGCTGATATTTCCACATTTTCACAAGGAATCACAACAATGACCAAATCACATATTGGTAAAGGCTTCATTAGATAAAGGTCAAGGTTAAGTAAAGGTCAAGGTTAAGTAGTTCTATTTTGGGATTGCATGTTGGTATCTGGTGCATTATATTCTTCATTGATTTTTCACTTTACCCTGTTTTCTTTTCTGGTATAAAAATAAAAGCGTTTCTTTTTGAAAATTCATGAATTTTCAACATGTAGAAATTTTAAAAGAGGAATTTCTTTATAAATTACCAACAACTGTCTTATAATTGAAATGGTATTTTCCCAGATTATATGTTATATGATATCAAGTCAAACCACATGCTGAGTATACATATTTTACTGAGAGATAAAAAGGGGATTTTTAAGATGTCACCAATCTTCTTTGGTTCCTTTACTGTGCATGGATAGTTGTGTCTTTGGGTTCAGTTCAGGTTTCTACCTGTGACTTTCTAACTTTTCAATTTACCTGACAGGTGTCTCACCTTTCTTCATTAATAATTGTTTATGTGACTGTCTGTTAAATGATCTACCTGTAATACATTGAATCTTACATATTGAATTCCATCAATTTAACTTGTTATCAAATTATTTCTAATTGAAAAAAATCTTCGCTCCAATTACTTCAAAACTTACTGCGGTATGTACTAAGTGGTGTGAAGTTGTGGATAGTTATCAGTTCCAGTTGAATCTGTCGAACTGTGTATACAGTATTGGTCGCTATTGGCTGATCTCTGTATGGATAGTTGTCCCTTTAAATATACCTGTGCTGTCAGAAGGGAGTGATATTTTCATTTGTCATGTTCTGTGTATCAATTTAACCTACTATCATTGCTGTCTCCTAGTTTCACAAAAACTTCAGATTTTGTTTTCATCAAGTCTATTTGTCTGTCATGAACATGTTTTAAATTAACAAAGCAAAGATCTCCGATGAAGAGGAGTTTTTTTTCTGGAAAGGGATAGCCAGTTATTTACTTATAACCTTCACTCTCTATCATCTCAAAGGTCATACCAAACTTTCAGACAAATCTTGTCCATATTTCTATATGTTTCACTATATAATACTGTTTTTTCTTCTCTGAATCAGCAACAAAAGGAGAAATTACAGTTACAGTTAGCTAAGGCTCAACAGGAATTCTCCAGCACTCCTTTGGGTCCCGCTGTTTTACCACTTCCTGTTAAACCACTCGAGATTTTTGATCCTGAAAAGGCAAGACAACAACTGCAAGATGATCGCAAAAAAGATTACAATGAGATTCTTCGCGAGGTATTCATTGACCAGTGTAGCAGTTTATAAATTACTTATCCCCTAAAAAGTCAAATATCTTCCCTATTATACTGTCCAAAATTTCCAAAGCTTTTCCTATGCCAAATTTTGTAGAAAAGGCTGACTTAACTTTCCTTCTTTCACTGACTACACTGGGTTTTCTGATGTAGAAGTAGTCCAAAGTAAAGCTGCTTATCTCCTTGTATCTGTGATAGCTTAGTTGAGACTGTCTGAGTTTGTGAGCTACAGCTATCTTGCTAGAACTTAGGTTATAGTTTGTATGATACGGTAATGCCTGTAAACCATTTTGTTTTTGAGCGTTTTTCTAATTTTTCCGAGGTTATATTATAAACTAACTGGTGATGCAGACAATTGGCTCATCACATGCTGAGAAAATAGATACTGGTCTTTTACTGTATCTAGTTTACACACTATATTAATGTTGAAATTGTTGGGATCATGAGCAAATAATTGGGATGAATAGATCATCTTAAGTTTGAGCTACACAACATCTCGGAAAAAAGTGACAGGAAAAGCCTTTCAGAACTGTCATTTAATGATCTGCTGATGGTGTAAGTAATTCTTGTCTAATACACTACACCTGGTAGAGGATATACTTTTTTTACATTTAAAGAAGATTGAAATATGTTGATATTCAGTTGCAAATAAAGTTGATAAAGTTCTTATTCTTTTTCTGTCGTCTGTTTTAATAAAACATTATTTCATCTAATACTTTGATGAATAGTAAGGTGAGTATATATAAACACCTTTATATATTGTTTTGTATTTGTTTTAGATGTTTGAACTAAAAGCTAATATTCTAATATTGTCTTTCATTTTGTATGTGAAATGTGATTTGTTGTTATATTTCATTTAAATTGATTCCCAATTTTTGAGAGTAGGAACTTTTTTTGAAAGTATTCATCCATTACTGTCAACAGTGAACTTGTCGAAGAACACCGGTTTTACCTGTCAGTTTCCGTTGGAAATGAGATTATAGTGTTATTTCAGATTAGACAGAATGTAAGAATACTCGGGGGACATTAATTGGACAGGTTTTACTGTAAACCTCTTTCAGTCTGTTATTATAGTAGGTGATATTTTACCGGTTCTATCTAGATGATTTCTTTCTGAAAATCGATTCGTGCTTATAATTAGTTTATGTGAAAAAATGTGTCAAGAATTTAAGGTAATATTTCTTTCATGCTCTCAAAAGCTGGGAAACAAAATGAAACGAATTCGACTTTAGTATCTGTAATGTCACTATCGTGGTCTGGAACATTGCTAGTCAGGACACTTTGGTTCCAGAACTTAGGGCCTTGTTTGATGGTCTGGGCACCTCGGTTTGCAATATTGCTAATTTGAACCCTATAATGTCTTGACATGTAACTAGTCCAGATTTCCGTATCAATTTCTGGATGCTGATGTGAATTTGCATCTGCAAAGACATTTTATTGTTTGAGAAAAAATAAAATAAAATTACAAACAAAAGATCAAGGTTATTTTTTAGAGTTCCAGACTACTATGTTTCGCTATACGCATGCCTTATGATGCCATGTACTCCCAAATAAATGATGACAATTTCAGCATGTACTGTTATGTATAATTATTTAATGCATGCATGTATATTAGTAACTGCATATAAAACTTACGTTAACGGTCAGTGTAAACAGTAACTGTTACTACCAGGTATTGTGCTGACACACACCAGGTAAAACACTACTAATTCAAGCTTAAGCTGAATTTTAACAGTTCTTTTAATGCCTTTATTTGTATGTTTTATGTTCTTTGAATGAAAACAACTTATTTTATATAAAATATTTAAGAAAGTTAATCAAGAAATTTAAATAATGTATTTAAAAAAAAAAATGAATATTAATTAGCAAAATGTTATTGTTCACCGTTCTCTATGACCAGGTATTCTTCTCGAGGCATGTTTTGTTAGTTTCTAATTTTACTGATTCTTTTTGTTTAAATTTATTGAAAATGACTTTAAACATAAAAATTCCATAACAAAATCTTGTTTCTGAATTGTTAGCTCTTAGCTCCATGTGTTGTTATTACAGTTACATATTATAGATAAGTATAGATAGAAAACAACACAGTTATACTCTAAGATGGTTCAGAAACTTTATATTTTCTATTGGTAACATATATAATTTATGAATTAAGTTATTGGCATTGACAATGTTCATCAATTTGAGATTGACTTTTTCTTTTGCTAACAGAAGGAACAGAACCCGTCTCCTCGGAGGATGCCCACACCTCCTCATGGTCTAGATATTGTCAGCCAGTCTGAGAGGACAAGGCAGGCTAGGGAGAAACAGCGACAGTATGGACAAGAATTACAGAAGGTAAAAGTTATATAGAGAAATAGAAAGTAGCATCTGTCTCTACATTTCAAGTACTGTAGACTTCCACAAGCCCCTGAATGTCTTTGAATACAAGTTTACGTGAAGCAGAGTCATGCCACAGACAACAGCTGTTGTGATTTTAATTTCAGAGACATTAGAATTCAGCTAATGTTACTTTGTCCTGACCACAATGATAAAAAACAATTGATGTAAATTGATATTTCTTCAATGGCTGTCCAAAAAATAAACTTGTTTGTGAAGAAAATTTCATGAACATTCTCATTAAGGCATACTTTTATGTATTCAAAGCAGCATTAAGGATGTATGTGTAGGTCTCTGTTCTTTCCTCTGTTGAGTGGGTATATCTTTATGGTTTTTATTCTAGCTCCTCAAAAATAATAACTGTGGTAAAAATTAAAAACTTTACAGAGACCTAATACTCTATTTTGTGATAAAATAATTGTATCAGAGCAGATTTGTAGATTTTTACCTGCTTGAAATTTTAAATAACTAGTTATGAAATGAATCAACTTGAAAGTCTCCGTAAGGTTTGAGAACATAAATTTGTTGTTTAGCTACCAGATATATATTTTCAATTGGAGAAAAAGAGATTTGTTGATTAGTCGGGATATTTCAAATTTCAAGTATTTGATGTTTCCCAGAATTCCTTTTCTAATGAAAATATCTGATGTTATCAACAACAGCATTTGAAAATGAAATGATAAATTTGAAGCTTAATTGAGGTTTATGATATATTTCTTCATTTACAATTACATATAATATATCATTTTAAGTGCTGTTATCGATAAAAAATTACCATTTGGAATATATTCCTGTTGGTTTTCATGCTGTTCTTAACCTTATTTTCTCATACCTTCTTGGCCAATTTCTGTCGCCTTTTAATTGGCTTGTGTTCAAGGTTAATGAAGATAGTGACCAGTCAGGGTCATAACAATGTTTTAGAACATTTTACTGGTTAATGCCATGTTTTCGTTTTTGCAAATTTGCTTTGTTATATTTCTTTTGTCTCATATTCAGTTGTAGTATTTTTGTTTCTAGTTTTCAGCGTGATTTTATTTCAATCATTTACAGCAAACACAGGAGCAAATGTTTAAGAAAATCCAGAATAATATTTCGGTCATAGATAGGACGGGCCAACTACCAGAAGCACCCAATCAGTACAATCATGTTGCTCCACAGCAGCATGCCATACCCCCGCCTCAACAACATGCTTCACCTTCTTCCCGTAACATCGCACCTCAGCATCCTCCTCCACAGACTGCCTCACCCCCACCACCACAACACCACAAAATGTTACCCCATCCACCACAACACTCCCAAATGTTACCCCCACCAACACAACATACCCAAATGTACCCCCCACAGCAACATCCATCTCAAATGTTACCCCCGCAGTCTCCAAGGAAACCCCCTCAGTTACATCATACTCAGATGAGTAATTCCTATGCGGAACATCATCAAGCCACACCTGCCGGATCACGCTCTCCACCTCCCAGGCAGAGGAGCCACCCCACCCCCCAAAGAACAGAACATGGGTACCATCCAGAATATAATGGGAAACAACAGAGTTCAATAGAGTCTAGAGATGGTCACCGCCCCCCGCCCCACCCCAGGAGACATGCCACACCTGATAGGCCAGACTGGGCTCGAGGACCACCACCCAGGCAGGATGGAACCCCCACAGGCAGATCCTCATTTAGGGTAATTAGTATATGTGTATATTCCAAATACATGTATTGCACCATGAGGGACGCATGCTTGTCTGGTTTGGCGAGTAGAAAGATCAAAGTGATGAACGTTACACAATTTGCCAGTGGTGAATTATATTTTCTGATGTTAAAAGTTCACTACTCTCTTCCTTAGTCTTTTACTCAATGATCACTTCACTGAACTGTTCACGAGTTTTCACTGGCACAGTAAAGCACAGTAAAACATGTTTATACCAACGCCAGACCACTAAAAACATTCCTTATAACTGGTGTAAATATAGATGATTGAAAGTGTCATATCCAAGTACTTTAAATGTGTTGATGTAAGCATGTTTTACTGTAAAAACTCAAAAAAGTCTATGAAAATATCTTTTTTCCCCCTGAAGTCTATGAGCATAGTTTTTTCTATATATCAAAAACAAAACAAAATAATTTTGATCTTTGAGAGTGAGATATATCTACTGCTTTTTGACCCTAACATAATTATTTTAGATGTGTTTTGCAAGTTTCATATTATTCTTTTATGCCAAATTTTCATATCTTTATTATTTAACATTGTAAAAATTATTATAAAAAGGGTTTCTGGTGAAACATGGCCTTGTCCACCTTTTTACCGACCTGGATATTCAGTATTCTAGAATGTCCTTGGGTGGGAATACAAGGTCAGGAGGGATCATCTCTGACATTGCCAGGAGGGCTAACGGGAATGTGATATAGGGACGGGAGAATGTCAGCTTTAATCATCAGTCATATTCGACCTAATTAGTTATTCCTGATGGAAACAAAATTAGGTTTTAATGAACTACCTTATGAATGTTTACTGCTGTTTAAAGGTTTTAATTAATTATGGGATGGCTGTGTGTTTTAGATTTTAGTAATTGCGGTTTGTAGGAGTTACCTTGGTGATGGCTGTCCTTTTGTGGGTTTCTGTTATAATAAGTGTTATTTCAATGATCTAGAGAGGATGTCGAACTGTCTCAATTACAGATTATTTATAAAACGAGCTTCATGAAAAAAAAAAAATGGAATTGGAATGAGTTTGAGATTCTGGTAACATATATCGACCACAATTTCCACTATTACACATATTTTTAAACTAGAAAAATCAAAGTAAACCACTGACTGTTTTACCTTTCTTCTTAATTTGTTAGATCACCATTTTTTATATTTGTTTGAACCTCAATCTATATCTGCTAAAACATATTTTGACTTCAAAGTTTTCCAAGAATATTTATTTTGTGTAAGGGGTCTAGGTAACAAGGTCCAACTTGAAGGATTATTCCTTTGCCGTTTTTGACATCCCAGGACCAATCAGAAAACATTGTAGATCAAATACTGGGTAGATATTGATTCAGGTAATGACAGATAATAATATTCATAGAGAACAAAGGGTCAAAGTTGAGCAATTTTGATTTTCAAGTTAAAACAAGTCTTCTTTTTCTATGAATTTAAAAAAAAAAAAAGTGAATTTCGCTTGATTAAAGTTTGATCATGATTTTGGGTGCTCAATGCTGTGTTTTCCTTATATGTTGGATTTATTTTCTGGTTTTTGTTTGTTATTGTGAAGGAACAGGATTGCTAATCAGGTCGAATCCTATCGAAGTCTCTAACGTAGTCTTCATTCCATCAAGTATCACTTTGTGAATGTCTCACTGAAGCTTCAAAATACATATGTACCATCATCATGTAGGCTTTAACTCAGCTAGTAGTCAATCGTATAGGACGACGTCAATAAGGACCAAGGGTACCACTGCATGTCAAGGACCAGAGCTTACGCTAAAAATAAAAAGTTCATTGACAAATTAATGTGGATTGTTTGCAAACGAGGTCATTTCTTTTATAGGCTGAAACAAAATTGACAGAATGTTTCTGTGTTTCTTTTTTTATTCGTAAGCTGCCTTGATATAGATGCATTAAATTGGTCATGACTTAAAAGAAGTTTATCAAACATGAAATGGCTTACATGGTGTAATTAAATGAGTTATTATGATGTTTGAAAAAATAAATTTTTCACTAAATATTTCTTGATTATAAACTTTCTCTGTAACTAAATACTAAAATCACTGACACGGAACATACTGATTCTATACATGGTTAGCGTGACGATCGACAGACTCCTAGTTACTGGAACGGCGGAATCCCTGTCCGGTCTCCGGCGACCACTCCCAGTACTCGCACGCCCAGCACACAACATTCTAATAGGACCCTGACCCCCAAAGACTCCCAGGTACCCTTTCACTGGCTGGTCTCACTGATGTCCTAGTGTGATGTGGGGAACTTGCTGGTGCCTAACATTAGCTTGGTTTGACCTTTGCTTGACTTGACATCGGCCTTAGCTTAACCATTGGGTGCTGAGCATCCTCTGTGTAGTTAGCTTGCATTTATGTTTACCATCGTTATGTTGATGCAGAGGTGTAAACAGTGTATTGTCTGGTGTGATAAGATGCTGGTAGACTCATAAACAGTTTATTGTCTGGTGTGATAAGATGCTGGTAGACTTATAAACAGTTTATTGTCTGGTGTGATAAGATGCTGGTAGACTCATAAACAGTTTATTGTCTGGTGTGATAAGATGCTGGTAGACTCATAAACAGTTTATTGTCTGGTGTGATAAGATGCTGGTAGACTTATAAACAGTTTATTGTCTGGTGTGATAAGATGCTGGTAGACTTATAAACAGTTTATTGTCTGGTGTGATAAGATGCTGGTAGACTTATAAACAGTTTATTGTCTGGTGTGATAAGATGCTGGTAGACTTATAAACAGTTTATTGTCTGGTGTGATAAGATGCTGGTAGACTTATAAACAGTTTATTGTCTGGTGTGATAAGATGCTGGTAGACTTATAAACAGTTTATTGTCTGGTGTGATAAGATGCTGGTAGACTTATAAACAGTTTATTGTCTGGTGTGATAAGATGCTGGTAGACTTATAAACAGTTTATTGTCTGGTGTGATAAGATGCTGGTAGACTTATAAACAGTTTATTGTCTGGTGTGATAAGATGCTGGTAGACTTATAAACAGTTTATTGTCTGGTGTGATAAGATGCTGGTAGACTTATAAACAGTTTATTGTCTGGTGTGATAAGATGCTGGTAGACTTATAAACAGTTTATTGTCTGGTGTGATAAGATGCTGGTAGACTTATAAACAGTTTATTGTCTGGTGTGATAAGATGCTGGTAGACTTATAAACAGTTTATTGTCTGGTGTGATAAGATGCTGGTAGACTTATAAACAGTTTATTGTCTGGTGTGATAAGATGCTGGTAGACTTATAAACAGTTTATTGTCTGGTGTGATAAGATGCTGGTAGACTTATAAACAGTTTATTGTCTGGTGTGATAAGATGCTGGTAGACTTATAAACAGTTTATTGTCTGGTGTGATAAGATGCTGGTAGACTTATAAACAGTTTATTGTCTGGTGTGATAAGATGCTGGTAGACTTATAAACAGTTTATTGTCTGGTGTGATAAGATGCTGGTAGACTTATAAACAGTTTATTGTCTGGTGTGATAAGATGCTGGTAGACTTATAAACAGTTTATTGTCTGGTGTGATAAGATGCTGGTAGACTTATAAACAGTTTATTGTCTGGTGTGATAAGATGCTGGTAGACTTATAAACAGTTTATTGTCTGGTGTGATAAGATGCTGGTAGACTTATAAACAGTTTATTGTCTGGTGTGATAAGATGCTGGTAGACTTATAAACAGTTTATTGTCTGGTGTGATAAGATGCTGGTAGACTTATAAACAGTTTATTGTCTGGTGTGATAAGATGCTGGTAGACTTATAAACAGTTTATTGTCTGGTGTGATAAGATGCTGGTAGACTTATAAACAGTTTATTGTCTGGTGTGATAAGATGCTGGTAGACTTATAAACAGTTTATTGTCTGGTGTGATAAGATGCTGGTAGACTTATAAACAGTTTATTGTCTGGTGTGATAAGATGCTGGTAGACTTATAAACAGTTTATTGTCTGGTGTGATAAGATGCTGGTAGACTTATAAACAGTTTATTGTCTGGTGTGATAAGATGCTGGTAGACTTATAAACAGTTTATTGTCTGGTGTGATAAGATGCTGGTAGACTTATAAACAGTTTATTGTCTGGTGTGATAAGATGCTGGTAGACTTATAAACAGTTTATTGTCTGGTGTGATAAGATGCTGGTAGACTTATAAACAGTTTATTGTCTGGTGTGATAAGATGCTGGTAGACTTATAAACAGTTTATTGTCTGGTGTGATAAGATGCTGGTAGACTTATAAACAGTTTATTGTCTGGTGTGATAAGATGCTGGTAGACTTATAAACAGTTTATTGTCTGGTGTGATAAGATGCTGGTAGACTTATAAACAGTTTATTGTCTGGTGTGATAAGATGCTGGTAGACTTATAAACAGTTTATTGTCTGGTGTGATAAGATGCTGGTAGACTTATAAACAGTTTATTGTCTGGTGTGATAAGATGCTGGTAGACTTATAAACAGTTTATTGTCTGGTGTGATAAGATGCTGGTAGACTTATAAACAGTTTATTGTCTGGTGTGATAAGATGCTGGTAGACTTATAAACAGTTTATTGTCTGGTGTGATAAGATGCTGGTAGACTTATACTGATGAATGATATACATATTCTGCTAGTGACTAGCTTTTTAAAAAAAATCTTATTTAATATCGAAATCGTCATTGGTGTAATTCTACTAGCCCGACTTTTAATATTTCCATAATAACTATAGATTTTTTTTCATTTCTCATTTGGCCAGACATAAAATCTACTAGCTCAAGGAGTCTGAGCCTAGTGAAATTCCAACCCTGTTTTGTAGATAATATTATGAAATCAGAACATTTACCTTTATGGGGCAAATGGATATTTACACCTCTGATCAATGTTAATCAATTGCTAGTCAGTATTACCTTACATACTAGACATCCTAGTTCTAAATATGTTTCTTTAATTTAATGTAGTAATTTTAGTCATTAATGCTTTCATTTGTATTACTTAGAGTTAGAATACCTCACTTCTCTTTTGCTTTTAATGATTTTATGTGTTTTTATTTATTTCAGCAGATTTAATCTGGCTAATATATTCACTAAAATTGTTGACAGAGTGTAGATATGGTTGATACAGTTTTACACAAACATAGCTGTACAGATTACTGTTGTTTGACTGTGATCTGTCTGGACAGCACAACATCTGATTATACTTTGATGAAGTATCATACAATCGCACAGTTCTTAAATGATCTTACCTATTTCACATCATATTGATGTAGATACAGAGGAAGCCATGTCTGTGTCAACTTATATCCTATTAAATCATATAAGGAATTTAATTAAAATTTGTATATTGCAAATTTAGTAAGATTTATTCAACTTGATTTTAGATACATTATTTGAAGTTGATGGTATACATGTAGTGTTGTCAAGGGAGATAACACATCTGAGAGGTATACATGTAGCGTGTCAAGGGAGATAACACATATGAGAGGTATACATGTAGTGTTGTCAAGGGAGATAACACATATGAGAGGTATACATGTAGTGATGTCAAGGGAGATAACACATCTGAGAGGTATACATGCAGTGTTGTCAAGGGAGATAACACATCTGAGACGTATACATGTAGTGTTGTCAAGGGAGATAACACATCTGAGAGGGATACATGTAGCGTGTCAAGGGAGATAACCCATATGAGAGGTATACATGTAGTGTTGTCAAGGGAGATATCACATCTGAGAGGTATACATGTAGTGTTGTCAAGGGAGATAACACATCTGTGAGGTATACATGTAACGTGTCAAGGAAGAGAACACATCTGAGAGGTATACATGTAGTGTGTCAAGGGAGATAACACATTTGAGAGATATACATGTAGTGTGTCAAGGGAGATAACACATCTGAGAGGTATACATGTAGTGAGTCAAGGGAGATAACAAATATGAGAGGTATACATGTAGTGTTGTCAAGGGAGATAACAAATATGAGAGGTATACATGTAGTGTGTCAAGGGAGATAACACATCTGAGAGGTACCAAGACATACACAGATACACAAATTTATTCTGACAATGTACATGTAGGACATAACCTGTCTAAACCCTGTGTAAACCAAAACCTGTCTAAACCAGACCCAGACTTCTTTATAACAAGTAACTTTGATGCAGGTTTTGTTATTCCCCATATTACAGTAGACGGAAAATGCCAATTTTACACTTCAGATAAAATTTCTATTTATTCCTTTTATATATGAAAATGATAATAGAGACGTGAAATTCAGACTGGCATACTATACCTTTCATTTTGTTATTTGGAGCTGATAAAAATGTGCTAAATCTTGACATTTGCTGTTTAAACAGTTTGCAGTCTGATGGCCAAATCAGCCATAATAAAACGTGGTTTTCTGTTTTGACAGGTTTAACTGTGGTGTTTGGTTTAGACAGGTTTACTGTGGTGTTCTGTTTAGACAGGTGTCACAGTAGTATTGCTTTCAAAAGATGTTAGCCAGGCAGTTAGACTTACCAATATGCAGTATCATTGTATGATAGATGTTAGCCGGGCAGTTAGACTTAACAATATGCAGTATCATTGTAT